CCCTGTGGCGGTGAATCGGTCAGAAGCTCGAGCTTAGAAATGCCTCAAAGTGCATTTGGTCCCTGCCAGGGAGGAGGGCTCCTAGCTGCTCATCTGAAAGGGCAGAATTTGGCCGGTTTTAGTAAATAGAGAGTAAAAGCTACAGATTTTCTTTCCTGGCTCTCCTGCAGCCGTGGGTACCCGGAGCTGGTGCCCTCCGGAGGGGACTCGAGCCTGGGGCTGGCTCAGGGGATGTGAAGACAACTGGGCCAGTATGCGGCTCTGCGGGAGAAGACTGAGCTGAAGGCTAAAAACGGGGAGTAATCAGGCTGGGTTTGTGCCCGCAACAGAGGCACCCATGCTGAGAACACAGACATGGAGAGTAGATTTCCCCAGCCAGTGGGGAGAGAGAAGCTGCGCACGGGTGCTGTGTGCGTCGTGGACAAGGAGTGCTTGGCATCGCCCCCGCTGTGAGCGGGTAAGCTGCTGCACCGGGCTTGTCCAAAGCCATGCAGGGGGCTGTGGCAACAACATCCGTACTTGCTTCTGTCTAACTGGGCACCCCGTGTGCTGCCCCTGCCTGCAACTCGTCTGTCTTGGGGCTCGTTTGACTGGCAGGGCTGTGTCTGGGAGGAACGGCAGGGAACAAATCCCCCTTGCATTTGCGGGAGCCTGGTGCGGGGATCTGCCTGGGGCTGATGTCAGCTCTGGGTGCCTCAAAGACGACACAAATGAAGTTTTCTGCATGCATGCAGCTTTGGGGATGGTTTCGTTCGGCACTCTCTGCGTGCAGGCAGCCAGCTCGCGTTTTCCTGTTGAAGAATGCATTGAGTTGCAGCATTGAGTGAAGTCCTATGGCTTTACCATTTCTTGTGTCACCAATTATTTCACCCATAATTGTAAAACCAGCATTGCCAGGAAACCTGCCTGTTTGCCATAGAAGTGGAATAAATGGGTCTGCTCCATCAAAATACAGAGAGGGTTGTTTTGTTTTGTTTTCTTCTGATGTTTGGGAACTGGTCTTTAAATTGGTTATTGACAAAGAAGGGTCTGTGGGTGTCTCTATGAAATGGGGTAGTCCTGCTTGGCTGCGGGTGACTGCAGTGTCTTCGTCCCATGCTGCATGTGGGAAGCAGCGCGGTGTCGGTGCTTACTTCAGCAGCTGTTTTCATAACCAGGCACCCTGTTGCAGAATAATGGCCCAGGCATTGTTTTCTGCCAAAGCTTTCGGAAAAACAGGAAGCCAGGCTCCTCACGTGAAGGTACAGCGGCCCCCGTGTTCGGCTCCTGAAGCTGAAGCAAGGTGCAGCTGAAAACAAAAGAGCAGAGAAGGCAAAAAAATATTGTTTCATCTCTTTTCTCCACTTCCAAATTTTGATGGAATATGGGGATTGGGTTTCCAAAGATGTAATTGTTTGGAATTATCTGTGCCTGAAGCCTTGTGATGAAGTCCGTGTGATGCTTTAAGGAACAGCATCCTGAATCACTTGGAGATGCAAACGGGATTAGATCTGGATGGTGACTGCGGCATCTGTGAAGCGGAATGAACAAGACCTGCGAACTTGGAAGAGGGGAATACTTCTTCCCCCTCTTCCATTACAATTGTACGGGCACTCTTGTCTCCTGTTCAGCTGGATACATCCCCTGTGCTCCACCTTTGACTCTTGTGAGTTAAGAAAGGGCAAAGAAAATTGTTTAAACTTGATCCTTAGGTTTTTCTGTGCTTAACGTTAAAAAGAAATCAGCAGAGACCTCTGTGTGCTTCATTTTCATCTGCCACCGAGCAGAGAGGGGCGAGCAGCCGGGGTAAGTCCTTTCAGCTGCTGGTGTTGCTATCCCAGGGACAATTGCCCCTTAACCAATTCCTCCTCGTGGTCTCTGTGAGTTCCCAAGAGGAAGCCTGGCACAGGGGAGTGCGGGAGCTACAGCGCTTCCTTGGTTGTGGGTTTGCAGTGACGCGCGACTCTGGGGCTGCGACCGTTTGCATTCAGTGTTTGTTGCAAATACATTGCAGGAGATCAGGGGATAATGGCAGAGATTCCCAGAGCTCTGAGCCGTGCTGGCTGGTTGTTTCACTGGCCCCAGCGCTTCCTGGGGAGGTGCTACCAAGCTTTATACCAGACAGCACTTTTCTTGGAAGAAACTGGATGCTGCTTCTCTCAGCCTTGTGTAAGTGACCCTTTGGGTATGTACACTAAGAAAAACCCACTGTCTGCTCATGTGCTTTCCCTGGCAAACAGAAGAGATGGTCTCAGAAACACTGCCTTGGTGAGAAATCCCTGACACTGCTGTTCAGGGCTGCAGCCTTCGCTGCGGTGGTGGGGAGATCCTGGTCTGGAGGGGACGACGTG